ATCTCGCAGCTCGGGGGCGTCTTCGACATGGCCTCTCGCAGCTCGGGGGCGTCCTTGAAAACGCCCCCGAGCTGCGAGAAGTCTAACATACCTCTCCTCGACGTGGCCTCTCGCAGCTCGGGGACGTCCCCGATCTGCGAGAGGCGACCCCGGGGTGTGACAGACCTCTCTTTGCAGTGGCCTCTCGCAGCTCGGGGGCGCCCCGAGCTGCGAGACGCCACTTCGAGGCGCCCCCGAGTGCGAGAGGCCAATTTCGAGGCCGTGCCGAGTGCGAGAGGCCACTTCGAGGACGTCCCCGAGCTGCGAGAGGCCAATTCGAGGACGTCCCCGAGCTGCGAGAGGCCCTCGAAGTGACCTCTCGCAGCTCGGGGGCGTCCTCGAAGTGGCCTCTCGCAGCTCGGGGACGTCTTCGAATTGGCCTCTCGCAGCTCGGGGGCGCCCTCGAAGTGGCGTCTCGCAGCTCGGGGGCGCCCTCGAAACGGCATCTCGCCCCCGTCGGCTTCTCGGGGGCCCAGTCGAATCATGCTTGCATGGCTCGGGGTGGTCCTCGGGGGCCGCCCGACGTCTCAAGGTCGCCTCCAGAGCTGCGAGAGGCGAGGACTAACAGACGTCTCCACTCGCAGCTCAAGGACGTCCTTGAGCTGCGAGTGGTAGGGTTAGTCCTCTCACTTTAGAGATGTCTGTGAGACATGCTCACAGACCTCTCCAGAGTGAGAGGACTAACCTTACCACTCGCAGCTCAAGGTCGTCCTTGAGCTGCGAGTGGAGGGGTATATTAGTCCTCTCCTCTCGCAGCTCTGGAAGCGACACATGAATGCGATGCGTATTTAAATCCCTCGGGAGGTCGGCAAACTTTTAAGTCGCCAAGAGGCCCCAAGAGGCCCCCAAGAGGCCCCCAGGAAGCCCCTGGAGCCACGAACGCGGCTTCAAAACGGCCCCCAAGAGGCCTCGACAGCCCTCCGAAGAGACCCCATCAACCCAGGCACGATGGCGGAATGGGCCGAAGGCCACTAGATCCGCCGCCCCCTGTGGTCCTGCCACAGGGGTGCACGGCGTGCTGGATGTTTCAGGTTTTGGTTTTGGTTCTTTTTCTAAAAGAACTCACCAGTGGGCTTCGGCCCGTCCCGCCGGCCACCCGCAAGTTTCCGAAAATCCATCTGTCAATGCCTTTGTTGCCCCAACTTGGCCCAAGATGGCCTCCAAGACGGCCAAGATGGCCCGAGATGGCCTCCAAGATGCGTCCAAGACGGCCAAGATGGCCTCCAAGACGGGTAAGATGGCTCCAAGATGCACCCAAGACGGCCCAAGATGGCCGCAAGATGGTCTAAGACGGCCCAAAAGGCCAGCAAAAGGCTTCCAAGACGGCCCAAGAGCCCTCCAAGACGCCCTCCAGGAAGGCCCGAATATATTAAAATCATTGGTTTTCCTTAGGTTGTTGAAGGATTTTGGCATGTTCTTGTTTTCAGCTCTCCGACGGCCCAAGACGGCCCAAGAGGTCCCCAACATCGCCCCAGCAGCACCCAAGAGGCCTCCAAGATGGCCCCATGACGGCCCAAGAGGCCTCCAAGAAGGCCCCAAGAGGGCCTCAAGACGGCCCAAGAGGCGTCCAAGACGCCCAAGATGGCATCCAAGACGGCCAAGATGGCCCAAGATGGCCTCCAATATGCTTCCAAGACGGCCAAGATGGCCTCCAAGACGGGTAAGATGGCTCCAAGATGCACCCAAGACGGTCCAAGATGGTCTCAAGATGGTCTAAGACGGCCCAAAAGGCCGGCAAAAGGCTTCCAAGACGGCCCAAGAGCCCTCCAAGACGCCCTCCAGGAAGGCCCGAATAGGTTAAAATCATTGATTTTCCATAGGTTTTTGAAGGATTTTGGCATGTTCTTCTTTTCAGCTCTCCGACGGCCCCAGACGGCCCATGAGGTCCCCAACATCGCCCCAACAGCACCCAAGAGGCCTCCAAGATGGCCCCATGACGGCCCAAGAGGCCCCCAAGAAGGCCCCAAGAGGGCCTCAAGACGGCCCAAGAGGCCTCCAAGACGCCCAAGATGGCCTCCTCCTCCATTCCCCCCCTTCCTATCTCTCCTCTCCTCCCCGTCCTCCCCCACGTGTTCCCCGAAGGCTGTAAAGACCGATTCGGGGAACATATGGCCCAATAACTTGGCTGACCTCTGGCCACAGCAGTCGGCCGCATCGGCGCTTCCGAAAGGGCAGGGGGCGGCGGTGATTCGCCGTAGGCGTCTTCGATCCGCCGCCCCCTGCTTGCAGGGGTGCACGGCGTGCTGGATGTTTCAGGTTTTGGTTTTGGTTCTTTTTCTAAAAGAACTCCCCAGTGGGCTTCGGCCCGTCCCGCCGGCCACCCGCAAGTTTCCGAAAATCCATCTGCCAATGCCTTTGTTGCCCCAACTTGGCCCAAGATGGCCTCCAAAGACGGCCAAGATGGCCCAAGATGGCCTCCAAGATGCTTCCAAGACGGCCACGATGGCCTCCAAGACGGGTAAGATGGCTCCAAGATGCACCCAAGACGGCCCAAGATGGCCTCAAGATGGTCTAAGACGGCCCAAAAGGCCAGCAAAAGGCCTCCAAGACGGCCCAAGAGCCCTCCAAGACGCCCTCCAGGAAGGCCCGAATAGGTTAAAATCATTGGTTTTCCTGAGGTTGTTGAAGGATTTTGGCATGTTCTTGTTTTCAGCTCTCCGACGGCCCAAGACGGCCCAAGAGGTCCCCAACATCGCCCCAACAGCACCCAAGAGGCTTCCAAGATGGCCCCCCCCCCCCACCCCCCCTCCTCCCATGTCGCGGCCCACACTCCAAGAGGCCCCACAACCCCAAGACCCCAACCCCCCCCCAACCCCCCCCCCCCCCCACCAACCCCCCCCCCAACCCCCAACCCCCCCCCACCCCCCACCCAACCCCCCCCCCAAGAGAAGGCCCCCCCCCCCCAACCCCAACCCCCCATCCACCCCAAGTTCCCCCAACCCTCCCCCCAACACCCCCCACCCCCCCCCCCCCCACCCCCATCCCCCCCCCACCCAACCCCCCGCCGCCACCCCACCCCCAACCCCACCCCCCCGACCCCAAGCCCCCAGCCCAAGTCCCCACCCAACCCCAAACCCCCCCCCCCAAGCCCCCACACCCCCCACAACCCCCCGCCCCATCCCAATAGGCCCCCCAGACCCCAACCCCCCCCAACCCCCCCCCATCCCCAACCCACCCCCAATCCCACCCCCCCCCCACAAGAGGGCCTCAAGACGGCCCAAGAGGCGTCCAAGACGCCCAAGATGGCCTCCAAGACGGCCAAGATGGCCCAAGATGGCCTCCAAGATGCCTCCAAGACGGCCAAAATGGCTTCCAAGACGGGTAAGATGGCGCCAAGATGCACCCAAGACGGCCCAAGATGGCCTCAAGATGGTCTAAGACGGCCCAAAAGGCCAGCAAAAGGCATCCAAGACGGCCCAAGAGCCCTCCAAGACGCCCTCCAGGAAGGCCCGAATAGGTTAAACTCATTGATTTTCCTTAGGTCCACGTGTTCCCCGAAGGCTGTAAAGACCGATTCGGGGAACATATGGCCCAATAACTTGGCAGACCTCTGGCCGCAGCAGTCGGCCGCATCGGCGCTTCCGAAAGGGCAGGGGGCGGCGGCGATTCGCCGTGGGCGTCTTCGATCCGCCGCCCCCTGCTTGCAGGGGTGCACGGCGTGCTGGATGATTCAGGTTTTGGTTTTGGTTCTTTTTCTAAAAAGAACTCCCCAGTGGGCTTCGGCCCGCCCCGCCGGCCACCCGTAAATTTCCCAAAATGCGTCTGTCAATGCCCAAAAACGGCCGTTTCGCTCGGGACATCCTCAAAAAATCGCGAAGATGGCCCAAGATGGCCTCCAAGTCCGCCCGAGATGGTCCAAGACGGCCTCCAAAACGGCCCAAGAGAGTCCAAGACGGCCCAAGACGGCCCAAGAGGCCCCCCAGAGGCCTCCCAGACGGCCCAAGAGGCCTCCAAGAGGTCATCCAGGAGAGTCCGAAGAGGCCCAAAATCATGATTGTCCATTGGTTTTGCTGGATTTTGGACATTGCGCCTTTTCGGCTCTCGACGGCTCAAGACGGCCCAAGGAAGCCCCAGGTCGCCCAAGAGGCCACCAAGAGAGAGCCCCATGCTGGCCCAAGGGTCCTCCAAGATGGCCCCTAGTGGGCCCCATGGGGCCCAAGAGGCCTCCAACACGCCCAAGATGGCCTCAAGACGCCCAAGATGATTCCAAAGGGACGGCCTTGAGCATTCCAAGCGGGCCAAGTCGGCCCATAGCGGCCCCCCAACGGCTTTCGACGGCGTCAGCCGAGCAGGGAACCCACCAAGATGGCCCAAGATGGCTCGGCTAATTGGCCCGAAAGGCCAAAAAGCCCACAAGATCGCCAAGGCTTGCCCAATAGGACCCAAGACGGCCAAGATGACCTTCAGATGCACACGTGTTCCCCGAAGGCTTTCCAAACCGATTCGGGGAACACATGGTCCGATAGCTTGGCAGGTCTGGCCTCAACGTTCGGCCACATAGGCGTTTCCATAAAGGCAGGGGGCGGCGGTGATTCGCCGTAGGCGTTTCGTAATACCGGGACACACGCAAGGCAATACGCATAGTTGTTTTGGATTATCACTCACACATGGGGATTCTCCCAAGAGGATTGTGGGGGGGGGGGTCGAGCAGACGCGTCGAATCAGCCCTGCGATCGCAGATCACCATGTTGGCGAGATGCATCCTACGAAAAACAATAAGGTGATGGATCCTCAATCGTCGGTCCTCCTTCTAATCACCCTACCCCTTCCACCGTCCACCTCATTCAGCCATGCTGCACACCATGGTCCTCATGACCTATTGCAGCACGAAAAACGCAGCTACAGCCGAACCAGCTGGCAACGCATGCCGCATCATGCAAAGGGATCCCAGGCGTTCTCAGGATCGGGATCACCAACAAGACCATCATCCTCAGGCTCAGGATTGTCATTCTCAGGCTCACCATCCCCGCCAGTGCCTGGCTCAGCCGTGGGAACCGCTACGGGCTTGCGCCGGGGGCGGCGCTTGGTGTTCGGCGGTGGCACTGGGGGCGGCGTCTCGGTGAGCCCTGCCGCCTTCGCGTACTGGGCGTCGTAGAGCTTGGAGCGCGTCTGGCACATCTCGGTCTTCATCTGCTCGACGAGCCTCGCGTAGATCATAGTCTTGTGCTCCTCGGTGAAAGCGATGCCGATGTACCCCACGCGGTTGAGCACCGCCTGCCAAGCGAATTTGGCGCCCAGCGGCGTCAAGTCCACGACGGCCTTCAAGAAAAACATGTGGATGAGCTCGTCGTGCCACGCGGGGGGCATTCCGTGGTGCGTGACTGGCACTTGCGTGGAGTCCGTCTTGCGCTCGATCACGTCGTCCGGGCTCGCGCCTTTCGTCTTGCCGCCGACGGCGATGAGGTTCTTCTTGCCGTAGAGCGCCTTTTTGTCCGACCAACTCATGGTCCACTCCTTTTCGGCCTTTGTCGCCTCGACGCCCATGATTGTGTCGCCCGACGCGCTTCCAGGATAGCGTTTCCGTGACCTCTCTGGCAGGGAGACTTTCGTATGCGAGAGCATGTGAACGCACTCGGACTGGTGAAGGCCAACTGTGCAGCTGCGCAACTTCTTGCGGCGGTTGGCGATGCTGGCCTCGGAGTAGACGATGTTGATGACAGAGGAGGTGAAGGTCAGGACCTCAGTTCCGTCCTCGTCGTCGGGGTCGCCCTCCTTATCCTCTTCGCCCTCATCATCATCGCCTTGCTTCTTCTTGTCCTTCGAAGTCCCCTCGCGCCACGGGTCAATTAGTTTATTAGAGTTGCCACTCCTGCTGCCGTCTAGCAGGATAGCCACTTCACCAGATCGTAGACCAGGGGCGCCGCCAGCCAGGGCACGCGCGTTCAGCGCGGTCCTGACCAGCCTGTGGTAGTTCGCGTCGCGCAGGGGGGCGACCCGCAGCTCCGGGCGAGTTAAGGGCTCGCCGCTCTGCTTGACGTCGAAGTGAAACAGCACGAGACCAGTCGGATCGCCCCTGATGCCCGCCAGAGTGGAATCGCGAATTGTGTGTTTCCAGCTCAGCGGCTGTTTTCTTCTCGACGATGATGTCCACGTGCGTGTGGACATGCTTCTGGATGATCTTCTCCCAATACTCTTGGTCCTGCTGCTCCATGCTGTGAAAGCCCTTCGACTCTGGAGTCGCGGTTGTCGTACCAGTTGTCGGAGCTGGCGTAGCTGGGTCCACTGCAGGGGTCTCTCCTCTCGCCGCCGCTGCAGCGGCTCGCTCTTGGGCCAGAGTCGCGGCGTTCTCGTCGATCTCGCGCTTGACGTTCTCGTACCCCAAGATGTCAGCAACCTTCGCCTTCGACTTTACAGCGTCCCTGTAGCGGCCGTCATAGGAGCAAGTGTAGATACACTCTTCCAGAAAGGTGCATGCCGCCACCGAAGATGGGGGCCATCCGACCATCCACGCAGTGTCCACCGTGGGCTCGTCGGGGTAGCCTGTCACAGACGCGCGCGCGTTCGGAAAGTCGGCGAACGCCTCCTGCATCTTTTTAACGCGCTCGATTGGCAGACCGATCCCCGGCAACCGCGCCTGGAGCAACTCATCGCGCATGGCGTGCTTCAGGTTGAGGACCTCGATGTAGCTCTGCCTGTAGTCCTTCATCCTGCCGATCGTGAACTCCCCCCCGGTGGTAGAGTCCTGGGGGGGGGGGGGCTACTCGCAGGCAATGTGACAGGCCAAGGCCAACCCAAGACACGCAACCAACCAAAATTAATCCATCCTCTCCCCCGTAGCTCCGCTTCCCCTTGGGCTGCCTCGGCCCTCAAGATCAAAATGCTAGTCTAACATGTTTTCACCGTGGTTTTCAACGCCAAAACCTTATTCTGCTCAGTCACCCCCCCTCCCGGGCATGGAATTCGACCCCCAGTCCATGCGGTAGAGATCCGTGAGGCCGCAAATGGCCCAGTTAATGCGAGATGTCGTCTGCGCACGGTCGACCAAGGCCTGCAACGCATACATCGATTTGCCCCATGGGCTCTTCTCCATCAGGTGCTCGTCGCACCACTCGAGCCACTGGCGCGCCATCTCGTTGCTGAGGGCCCTCCTGTGCATGGTGGGGGCGCTGTCGACGAAAGACGCGCTGACTCCCTTCGTCCCCCTGGCGTACTTCATCTTCTCATGGTAGTACTTCGCGACCTGAGCGCTGCCCAACTCCCTGCCCAGGTCCTTCTCTTTGGAAGCCTTGAAGCCAACGACGTCGTAGATCCACTGGCGGACGGACTATTGGGACACGATGCCCATCTCGACGGCTTCCTGTCGGAGGTTTTGGGCCCTCCAATACCGATCGCCCCCTGATGTCGCCAGCTCGAACCTGAACGACGCCGTCAACAGCGCGTGGCGCCATTTCCCTAACACGTCATCGCCAACTTCTTGAAATGTTGCATCCCTGATGCTGAAGATCACCGCGAAGGCGGGCTCTGGGGGCGACAAGCGTTGCAAGGCACCTTTCGCGCCCATCACGCATTGCGTGGCTGAGTCCAACGCAATCACCGTCTCGAAGGGAATGTGCCTGGGCGGCTGCAGTGGCTCCAAGGCGAACCTCTGGAGCTCCTTGATCTGGCTTTTGTTGATGGGCACACGGTGGTTGCACATCCACGCGAAGCTCTGCCACATAAAATTGAGGCCGCATTTGTAGAAAAGGCCAGGCCCATCTCTGTTCAGCACAGCGTTCATGTCAGCCTGCTTGAATGGCGCCTGGGCGCCTCCATCCGACATGGTCTTCGGCTCCTGCTCAACGCTGTCCTTGAACACCGGGTGCTCCGCGATCTTGCTTAACGCATCGTGGACCTCGTTGATCACGGTGCGAACCGTGTTTTCGTTGCTTTTCAAATGGAGCGTGTTTGTTGTATGTTGTTTTAGATTTGGTGTTTTGTATGGTTTTTTTTTTTGTTTCTCCGTTTTTTTTTATCTAGTTTTATCTTTTTTATTTTTCTATTTTTAGTTTCTGTTAGTTTTTTTTTTTTTTTTCTTTTTTTTTTTATTTAGGTTTTTTTTTTTAGTTTTTTAGATTTTTTTTTCCTCTATCGACTGTTCATCTCGACCCCTACCTACGCGGCGGCCTCCGCCCCGGCGGCGCTGGTCTTATTCTGGATCCTCGGGCGCGTTCTCGGCTCGGGCTTCTCCTTCGTCGCCTGGCCGCGCTTGCCCATGGCGTCTCCCCTGGTGTCCACGGAAGTGGGGTAGTGAATTGAATGCGGTTTTGTTGCGCCAGAAAACCAAACTGACCCGAATGGCTACGGGCGCGTCGTCTCGTGGAGTTGTTATATGGCATCGGGATCTTAACATACGATTAGAACAACGATGTGCACCAGCTGCGCGGATGGATGGCGGACCCTCTGCAAGATGCGGCTCTCGCCTGGGGTTTCCTGACATTGGCAAAGACAGATACCTGGACCTCAACCAGCGCCAGCTCACCCTAGAGGGGCGGCCGAGGGAGGGGGAAGCTCGCCAAAAACATGTTCTACCGCAAGTGCATCGGGGGGGGCACTTGACAAACCCACCCTCCCTCGCGCGATCCTTGGCGTTGGGGCTTGAATATAGCACTCTCCAGGCTGCCCCAAGGAACGCACGGGTAAAACTAATGTTGATTGCACAACGTTTTTACACTGGGCTACGCAAGCGACGGCCGCCAACAAGTGGTGGCACTCCCAAAGGCGCAAATGGCTGCACCGTCGCCCGCAAGCTCCCCGGGGCGTCCGAATCGGCCGAAACAGCCGTGCCGAAAACGCCGTCGCACCTCACTGCTCACCCTCGAGCGCGAAGTCAACCATGGTCCTGTCGACGACCAGCGAGTACCATTTGCGGTGAATGACGCGCTCGTTGAGCCTGAGCGCTGGGAGCACCGCATCTCCCCCGTCGTTGTAGTGGATGTCGGCGGCCCTGAGGATGAGCTCGTCAATGTCCGTGAACCCGAACTCCTCGAGCGCCTTGCGTTTCAAGCGGCTCGCGTTGACGAATAGGCGACCCTGCGTGGGCCCCTCGAGGTTCGGCAACATCACCCTCTTCCACTCGTCGTTGTACCTCCCCCACGTCTCGATCTCGGGTATGTTGACGGCCGGGTGATCAGGCTGAGTGTCGGAGCTGGCGTCGCCGTCGCCGCCGTCGCCGCCGTCGGTCTTGCGGGCGTAGATCCACTGGATGAGGTTCACGAGTTGGTCGTCGCCAATGGGATCTCCATCAGGGGATTGCCCGTGACGCTTGTAGATCTTCAACTCAGACTCGGCGCCGAAGTATTCCGACATCTCCTTCGTGATCATATTCTTGATCGTCGAACCCTGGGTCATGATGTTCAGCGTGCGGGGGTCGACCCGCACTGTAGTCGTCGCTGGCAGCCATGTGTTCAGCTTCATGAAGTAGGCCCAGAACCTGCCCTTCGCGGTTGTGATGGTTGACTGCTGCGTCTCGTCCCTGAGCGCGTTCTCGACTGCGTCGCGCTGGGTCGGGAGGTCGAAGAGGATGCACGTGTGGCTCGTCATTGCCCTCCGTCGAATTGGTAGTAGTGGCCTCATGGCCCCGTGTCGGATCTCTCTCTCTCTCTCTCTCGAGAGAGAGATCAAGCCGTTAATAAGTTATGAGCCAAAGTGGCAGTGGTTCCACTCACCCCATGCCCCGCTGTCCATCCCGCGCCCGTTATCCACCCACATAGGCCCCTGCGAGGCGCCAACAGCCCCGAGAATGATTCCCAAGACGGCCCGAGATGTGCCGAGACAGCCCAGGAGGATCCAAGACGGCCCATGACGTTCTCACCAGGATGGCCCACAATGGTCCAAGACGGCGCACACTTCTCCCTCCTCCTCCTCCTCCTCCTCCGCATTCAATTGCCATAGTTGGGCTTAAGCAGCGCTGCTTCGGCGCGCCCTTGGCGCGCCCCGTGGACTGGGGCCACGGCGGCCCACAGCATGCGGAGGTGCCGAAGCTCGGCATCGATGCGGGCCAAGTGTTGAGCAAGAAGGGTGTGTCAGCAGACGGTGTCGGGTAGGAATGCATGCCTCGTGCCACAAAAGGTGTACTTAACTATGTTAATTACACCTAGTGATGGCACAAAGGCTTGCATTCGCAACCCCGAGGTGATGGCTGTTGGCAATCAATGTCAGACGGCGCCTACTCGTTCCTCGTGCTGTTCATGGCTAAATATGGAACCGACGCTGTTCACGTGATTTCTCGAACAAATACAGGGAAATGGACTTCCTGGCACCGAGGCAATGAGATCGAGTGCTACGTCGTGAGGTTCCTCAGGCAGCGTGGCATCATGCACCTCGGCATGGAAGCTCACCAGATTTCCATCACGTCGAAGAAGAGCGGCTGGCGCGGCAGAGGGATTCCTGAAAAGCGGGCCGGGATCACGCACATGCTTGACAACGATCCAGAGTGCCTGTATTCCGTGCTCTTGGACCAGACGGGCCAGAGCGCATACAAAACGATCACATCCTACGAGAATGGCTCGCCTTGCGCGCTCTTCCAGTTCACCAAGCACGAGGAAACTTAACCGCCATGGCGAATGAATGTTCTCCCGGAGGAGGCCATGGCGGCCATGGCGACCCACCTGCACAATATCAGCAATTGGTTTGAGCTGGCCAACTACTTCGATCTGCTGTGCAGGCACGAGCTTTGGGCGGCAATTCGGAAGGAGGGGCCACTTCACAAACAACCTGAGAATATGTCCGCACAAGAAGTTACCGACATGTGCAATGGGTCTAAACTTATGCTCTATCAGCCCGAGGACGAAAAGCCACAGACGGGTGACGCCCCGGACGATGCTCGTGGTAGTCAGTGCTCCGCGGAGCCGTATCAACAACATCATCCCGCCACGGACTACATGCACGACGAAGTGGACGAGGCGGACACTTGGGTCAATAATCTGATTAATGATGCTGGCACGGCGTGGTATCATTATCCACAGCAGCCCAACGACCATCATCAACATGTCGTGGGAGTCCGCGGGCTATCCAGAAGATGCCGACATGTGGCAGCAGCCCGCAGGTCAGCCCGCGGAGGAGTACGCCGACGAGACTCCACAGAAGGAGGGTGTTGGCATTGGCTCGCCAGACACAGGATCCCCACGGCCAACGCTCGGCGGCGGCGGCAGCCCACATACCAGCCTGCCAGGAAGCATGCCAGGCAGCGCCTGTCAGGCAGCCTACGAGGAGCAGGTCAAACAGCTGAACGCGACGGTTGCAGCACTCCGCAACGACGTGATGCAAGCGGTGGACGCTGCAACCGTGGCTGCACAAGCCGCACAATGTGCGGCGCACAATGCGGCCACGGCGCAGCACGCCCAGCTCAGCATGCCACAGCCGCATGTCTGCAGCGTGCCAGTGCCGCCGCAGCCACCACCAACAGCGCCTCCTGCTTGGGTTGAGTGGAAGCAGAGCAGTCGACAAGCGCCAGCCTGGCTAGAGAAGAAAGCGGCTCGTGCTGCACGCTACGCGGCAGGCGACAGGCCACCGCAAGGAGCAACCGCGCCATCGCTGCCGATGTGCAAGTGGTGCGGTAAAAACCAAGCCGGGCGCCATTGCATTTACGAGGCCTGTAGGTCCTGCTGCGACTCCTACAGGCAGAAACTGGGGGCCGCGTCCAAGCGGCGCTGGCAGCATGACGCTGCGTAGATTTTCCAGCATGTTTTTGTGAACGGCTGCATCGGCCAAACTTAATTCGCCATGCCTTGCCGCAGGGGCCGGGCGTGCATCCCGGGAGGCGGCCGCTGGGTGTCATGGGCCCGCGGAGGCCTCGGCTGGCGAAAGGCGGCCGCTGTGATCATCGGTCCGCGGACGCCTCGGCTGGCCCAGCCTGGCACTGTGCAAAAGCGCCGTCCTCCTCCGCCTCCCCCACCCGAGTTCCCATCCCCCCTCCCCCTTCTTCCACCTCCTCGCCCTCGTCATCATCATTCGCCCAGCCGATCGCCGTAACCCAGAACCAGAATTGAACCATCCATTAATATTTTCACTACCCACGGGAACGTGTCGGGCATTTATCTACTTTCAGCGACCCCCCGACGATCAGCCGTTTCGGCTCGATGGTTTCGGCGCCCTTGTTTCGGCACTGCACCGCTGAAGTCATGCGCTTAGAGCTGATGCGGTCTATCGGGTCTGCCAGTAGCACTTGCAACCCCGAGGCTCCGAACCAGCTCATCTCCTGTGATGACATCTCCGATGATTGCAAATACTGGCAGGACATTGCGCCCTCCGCAGGGCCAGCGGTGCTACTTGGCACGGCGACGCTTCACCTGAACCGCGCGTCGCCCATTCTGCGCAAGCATTCAGAGAAGCTTGAGCAGGACAAGGAGTTGCTGGCCTACCAAGCCAATCAACTGGCGGATCAGAAGTTATCGCTGCAGATCCACCAGAACTGGCCGCGCATTCCGGAGCGCGGGATCGTCGCGAAGTGGCGCGCGCAGATCATCGCCCACCTCGACTCTCAGATCAGGGCGGCGCGCAAGTTCGCGGCGACCCTCATCGCGACACAGAGCTTGGTCGCGGGCCTTTCGCCGCAGATCATGGGGCCGTTCCAATCGAGCAGCGACGTGCTCGGTCTGAGCTACGGGGAGTACGCGCCAGTCGACCCATGCGAGTAAGCTTTAGGACCTGCTCTTCGGCTGCTTCGGCTTTAGCGCGAAATCAAACATCACCATCGTCATCGCCATTCCTCTGTCCTCTCCAATCCATTCCTTTCCAATTCCTCTCCAATCCATCCATTCCTCTTTCCTCTCCATCCATCCTTCCATTCCTCTTTCCTCTCCAATCCATCCCCCCATGTCTCCCCTCTCCAACCCATCCCCTCTCCAATCCATCCGCCCCGGGCGCGCGCGGCGGCCAGTGGCCGAACCAGCCAGGGGGGAGGGGGCTTGGCCGAGGCAGCCAATGAATTGTGAGGACGTCCCAAGCGATACATTTGTTTTGTACAAGTTTGCTGGGGATGTCTCAGACGAAATGTTGGTAATGCAGAGTTGGGGGACGTCTGGAACGGGGGCTTCGTGGGCGGCCAGAACTCGTGGGATGTCTCGCGAAGTGATTACGCAGGTCGCCCAGTGGGTATCTAACAAGGCCGAGGCAGCCATCATTGGCCCATCTGCCTGCAGTTCTCTAGATCGAGAAGCCGCAGCATCGAAGCGATGACGATGAGGGGGGAGGGATGGAGGATGGGTGGACGGGGG